GTAACAATATCACAACATATTGGTAGTTTAACTTTTGGTCATTGCTTTTTAAGTTAGTTTGAATTTTATCTTTACAAAAACATTCATGCACATTCTCCTTCTCAAGACATGTATGTTCATTTTAAAGTTGTGGAATAAAACAGAGTTTAAATGGGTTTAAGCAAGGACTTAATCAAGGTTTCCTGAAATATTTTTGCTTTTATTTAATATATTTTTATCTAAAAATATTATTTTAAAAGCATAATGTACATTTTTGTATGACCTAGTGGAAGATAAATGCAAAAAGTAAGATCATTTTGTGAGTGTGGATAGAAATAAAAATTCTCAGACTTCTAGTCAAGATGACAAAGTAGAAAAATGCTGCGCTCACCTCCTTTTACAACCACATCAAAATTACAACTGAATTATAAAACAACCACCATTAAGAATCAGGAGGGACACCTTGGCTGCAGAGCTGTCCACTGAAGACCAGTGGATTCCGACCTCATTCTTGACTCCCAAGCCAGAGCACCAATGCCAAGAAGAGGAGTCCCCACCAAATCTGGCTGTCAAAATCACTGAGGATTCCATCCAGGTGAGACAGAGGATTGCTGGTATCCCAGGTATTCCTCTTAGAGGGCCCACACATGGACTTACTTACTATGGGCTCACTCGCCATAATTCTGGCACTGTGGCAGCAGTTTGAAAAATGCCAGAGATATACAAGGAGAAACTGAATTATCTGGCTTCAAACCAAAGGCTGAAGGGACAGGTGTCTTAAGGAATAAAGTGCTGTCAGAAGCCATTGTTCATTTGTTGAGCCCTCCCCTGACACAGCCAGCAGGCATGGGCAAATACCAAATCTGAGTCTCCATCAACCTGGCAAATGCTGATATTGATCCACGCTAGTGATTCTCTGAGATCTCACTCTATCCAATTTATGTACCGCACCAAAAATTCTTTCAGAGGCTAATTTATACAAACTGCTGGATTGGGCTGGCCTGAAGACTTTCCTAAAATCTCAAAGGTTGACAAAACCCCCAAAAGTTGTGACTGTCCTTGGTATTCCCTGTACCTCTTACTAAATTGCCCCAATCCCAGCACTAGTAGCAGCTGGCCTTAGTTCACAGCGTAATCACTACGAGGCTCCTCCATGTCCAGCACAAATAGCTACTAACTACAGATCACTTTGTAGCTCCTACCAGGTGTCCCCAGGCCAAATATAGGCAGTAGCTAATCTTGGCCTACACCAGAGCCACCCCCAAGAGACCCAGAAACAACATACCTGGCGGCTGGCTTCAGACCACATAGAACATCACCCAATTAATATCACAAACAACACACACCCAATAAATGAACTTAGTAGACACCAGAGCCTCACTAAAGTAAATCTTGCTCAGTGGGGTCAGCCTCTGCAGTACAGCTTGTTCACTGAATTCATGGCCGGTTCTCATAGAAAGTTAACCTGAGGATCAATCCAAAACACTGACATTCCAACAGCAAAGAAGACTCAACTATAATAGGAGGGCACACAAAACCCACACAAGGGATACCCCTGGAGCATCTGTTTCAGGTGAACAGGAAGACTGCCTCACAGGACACATACTACATAAGACCACTCCGTAAAGACTGAAAGTCATAGCAAATCTACCTAATACATTGAAACAAACACAGGGAGGCAGCTAAAATGAAGAGACAAAGAAACATGTCACGAAAAAAGAATGTGACGAACTCTATAAAAAGAATTAAACAAAATGGAGGCAAATGGTCTACCAGTTTCAGTGTTCAAAACAGTGATTGTACGGTTTCTCAATTAACTTAGAAGAAGAATAGATGATCTCAGTAATACCTTCAACAAAGACATAGGAAACATAGAAAAAAATATAGAAAACAGAGAATGAGTCATAAGTGAAGAATAGAATAACTGAAATGAATAATATACCTTATCAAAAGATAAGGTAGCAGAAAACACCCAATTGAAACAGCAAAAGAAAATAAAAAATTAAAAAAATGAGGATGATTTAAGGGATGTCTGGGGCAACATCAAGTAAAACATTTGCATGATAGTGGTACCAGAAGTAGAAGAGAGAGAGCAGGGAATTGAAAATCTATTTGAAAAAATAATGATGAAAAATTTCCTAACTTGGTAGAGGAAATAAACACACAAATTCAGGAAGTGCAGAGTCTCAAACAAAATGTACCCAAAGAGGCCCAAATCAAGACATATCAGGATTAAAATGCTAAAATTTAAAGTATTTTAAAAGCAGCAAGAGAAAAGCAGTTGGTTACCTACAAGGAAGCTCCCATAAGAATGTTAGCTGATTCCTCATGTGAAACTCTGCAGGCCAGAAGGGATAGGCACAAAATATTCAAAGTGATGAAATGCAAGAACCTACAAATGAGATTATTTTACCCTGCAAGTCTAGCGTTTAGAATTAAAGAGGAGATAAAGAGTTTCCCAGACAAGAAGAAGCTGAAAGAGTTCATCATCAGCAAACCAGTATTATAAGAAATGTTAAAGAGACACTTTGTAGACCTGGTAAGAGCTACAAAGTGATCTGTAGTTGGTAGCTATATTAAATATATATATTTTTTCTATATATATGAAATATATATTTTCATATATATGATATATATTTCATATACATATGATATATATGATATATATTTCATATACATATGAAATATATATCATATATATATGAAAAAGAAAATATCACAAAGGAAAAAAATCTCACTGACAAAGGGGCTCACATAATAAAAGCAGTGGATCAACCAACACAAATGCTAGTACAAAGGTTGAAAGAAAAAAGCAGAAATATCATGTGTAATTACAACAGTAAATTAAGGAATACACACCAACACACACACACACAAAAAAAAGTAAAAAAATACTGATGAAAACAGAAATTAGGAGGGGGTGAGTAAAAATTGTAGTGATTTTGGAATGTGTTTGAAGTTAAGCGACCATCAACTTAAAATAGACTACTATAAACATAGCTTAGTATATATGAATCATGTGGTAACCACAAACCAAAAATCTATGAGAGATACAAGAAATAAATAGAAAGAAATCCAAACAAATCCATACTATAGAATGCCATCATTATACAAGATAAGAGAGCAAAAGAATAAGGAACAGAACTACAAAAATAATCGGAAAACAACATGGCAATAACTACATACCTATCAATATAAAAATTACTTTAAATGTAATTTAAGTGCTCTAATCAAAAGACTAATGGATAAAGAAGTGGTACTTGTATATAGTGGAATATTAGTCATAAAAATTAATGAAATTTTACCATTTGTGACAACATAGATAGACCTAGAGGGTATTATGCAAGTGAAATAAGTCAGACAAATACAAATTATGTATGATTTCAATTATATGGGATATCTAAAAACCAAAGTAAACAGAACAGAAACAAACTCATAGATACTGAAAACTGTTGTTTGCCAAATGGAAGAGGGATTGGAGGGCTAGGTCAAAAAAATTAAGAGATTAAGATGTACAAATTGGCAATTTCAAAACAGTCACAGGGATCCAAAGCACAACTTAGGGAATATAGTCAATAATATTTTAATAACTACATACAGTATCAGGTGGGTGCAAGACTTATCAGGTGATCTAAGTTATATAAATATCTAATCACAAGACTGAACCCCTGAAACTAATATTATTATTCAATATTTTGAATGTCAGGTGTAAAATTTTTTAAAAATTATCTGTGAGTAGTCTAGCATATACCTACATGTGGATTTATTTTTAGCTTTAAATAACTTGAAAGAATGAACCGTAAATTAAAACTTTCCATATGTAGCTCGTAAGTACTCACTCTAAAATCTAAGTTAAATTTCACTGAAAGTCAATATGCCAAACTAGAAACTGTATATATCTCAATTAGGAGATGGGTCACATCATCTTTAACATCTTTTAGAAAGTGAAAAAGCACTCCTTTCTCTATCAATCTTCATCTTTAAATAGTATTTAAGTAAAAATAGAATCTATCCTTTCAAAATGTTTAGAGGTTTCTAATTGTGCATTTTATCTAGAAGTTTTCCTTTGAGTGAAGAACTCTCCTGTAGGACTGTTATAATTTGTTCATTAAGTTTACTTCTGCCCCAGATAGTGTTTACCACTAGATATAAATAAGCTTAAATTTCTACTTCTTAATGAGAATAATTCCATTTAAAGTAATGGAGTTTACTAGTTTCATAGCTATGTGATCAATCACATACCGAATAGCTAGAATTTAATGAATCATGCGATTTTGATTGTGCGTTGTAGACATGATGTTTGCAATTCAGTTGATGACTTGGTGCCTTAAATCCCAACAGCATAAGGTAATATCTTAAAGCACAGATTTTAGAGTCGGGCATATCCAGGATCAAATTCCAAATTTGCTTCTTTGCAACTGTGTCACAGTAAGCAAGTAATTTGACTTGTATAAGCCCCAGTTTCTATATTTGTGAGGCAATGATAAAAAACTTCTTGGGGTTGTCATTCATAAGTGAAAAATGTATGGAAAGTGTTTACCTTAGTCTCTGGCATTTAGTAAGTGCTCAATAAATGAGAGTGACCTGCTTTTGTGATTTATCCAAACATTATGGACTACATTTTAATTGTTAAATAATGTGAAATATGGTTGAATTGTATATGAGTATTTTTACTTGAATTATTAACTAAAGTTTAGAGTTTAGAAGGACATAGAGAAATAAAGATATATAGTCCTTAAAGAAATTTGGTGCCTTACTGTGTTTGGAATTTGCACTGTGTGACTCCTATCTATTTTACTCTTCCTCATTCAAGAAGTTTAATCATATACTAACAAAATATAACCATTGTCATTTTCTTTGTTATAGGTCTTTTTTCTAAAGTGTGTTGATCATGTAATAATAAATATGTCTTCATAGACTTTAGCTAATAGTAACAACATATCCTTTTCTTACTAGTTAGAGACTGTCTAACATCTAATATGTTTGTTCTCTTCTTCTTGTGCAATCTTTCTTGGAACCAGCGGCTGCTTCAAAAAATAAAGTTAAAGGTGAGCTCCTGTCCCTTTTGCATGATTTATCATGATTTATTTTTTCTGTTCAGTCTTCTAAGTCCTCTTAAATAATGAAGTCAATCCTGTTAGTGATATTGGTTCATTGTGTAGATACTAGTCACAAATTTCTACAAATATAGATACATATTATTTCAATTACTCAGTTTCTGATACATATCTGTATTTGCATGATTGTGACATTGTTTGCTTTTTTGACTTATTTCCTACTTTAACAGAGAGTTTTTGTGCACTAACATTTTGCCTGATGACCTTTGTTTCTTTGGTAAAATTGTAAATTGGAAAAAATACAGCACAAAATAAATCTGATGGTAAAAACTCAAAATTAAACATGCCTTCATAGCATTGTGTAAAAAGGACATTTTATTCTTACAAAATAAATATTATAAACTGTAGGTTTCTATGACATTTCTTCCATTTCCTAGATGCATTAAGTTTGCATTTACTAGAATCCTCATTCTGGCATTAGATAAGTAAATCTTCTTTGATGAACTTATCTAATGCCAGAATGTCTCTCTGAAAGAAAAGACTTTTGGCTCAATGTGTCAGTCTTTATGGTTTTGAAAGAATTTAAATATATGCATGAAATTATGTCATAGATTTATAGTTTACGTTTTTGATTTTGTATTCTCTAGAAAAATCTATATAATTTTAAATTTATTTCTCCTCTTACTAGCAAACATATATTTTAACTCTTTCATTTATTCTTATGCAGCAAAACCGCAATGACCTTATTGGTCATATATTTATGACCTTCAGTTTCTTCATCTACAGAGTGAATGACAATAAATACTTCAAAAGACTGTGAAGGTTGAGTTAGGTAAAATATATAAAACAACTAATAAGATTCTGACTGCTACTAGTATTTCAAAACAATACTGGTTTTCTTTTGCTTCTTACAAACCTGCATCTTTGTGGAAAATTTTCTGACTCTTCATCATTCAGTATTGCTGTGTCTAATATCTTCCTGTGTATGCTCAGAAGGAATGACCAGGTGGTTTTGTCTCCTCTACTTCTCATACTCAAATCTACTACAAAGCAAACCTCTATTATCTCTCTCCCCACAGCTCTGCCCTCCCACAGGTTCTAGTTTTATACATAGTTTTAACACTATGACATAGATTCATATTTGAAGTGTTAACTGCTCCCTGCTTATAAGGCTCAGCATTTAGTGTGCAAGCACTATATTCCTAGCAATATATTTGTTTAATAGAACACTAAATATATAAAAAAGATGGCAAATCTATTGTTACCCTTTGTTGTATCCACTACAGTTATCCTAGTATCTTGTTTCAATAAATGAGCTAGAATAATTATTAGCCAATCCTTGCCACTGTAATTTTCTCACTGATTTTGAACCAAATAAATGATTTCACAAAACAATTGATAAATTACTTGACAATGACTACATGCTTACACATATATAAGAATAATGTATTTGTATAATACAAGGTTAAGACATCCAGTTTTAGAAATGAAGAATTAAGAAAAATGTAAAACAATGTTACTTTTGGGATATAGAATGAGTGTAAAAGGAGATAGAGATTCATATTGCAGTTGTAGTTCTCAGAAAATACTTTATGTGGAAGGTGGAGCTTGAAGTGATTCTTGAAGATTGGGTAGGATGCATATAAAAGATGTATAGAAAAAAGAAGTACATAGGAAAATACTTCGAAAGCATAAATAAAGATATGGAAGCAGAAATGAGTACAGTTTATTTTAATATAATGAGGGTATCTTTTGAGTGAAGACCTGTATTTTTATAATAATGGAGGAAAATAAGTTTAATAATACAATAAATAGGCAATAGAGTGAGCATTTGGTTACAAAAAAACTTGTAATGGTCACATTAGTCACATTTATGATCCCTTGAAAATTTTTAAAAACAATGGATCATAATTCAAATTATAATATACAGATTATACAGTATTAAGTATAGGAAACCAATTTGCTATTGTAGAATTATAGACAAATGAATTATATTTCAGATGTTTAAGTCATGTCAGGAATCAAACTGGCTAGGATTGTGCAATGCAAACATTTTGCTGTGCCTGATTTAGCATTTTACACTTCACCATCCTACTATTTTATACCTATCCATTTTATTTGAATCTCCGTTCTCCACATGTATATAAGCCTGCATGGGGGCTTTGGGGCATAGTTTATCTTATGCCTATATTTTTTGCATTCATAAAGTCTCATAGAGAAAAGAAATAATACTTTCTAAAATGAACTGTGTCTCAAGTAAAAATTGAAATTTTATTTATAATGATTAAAACAGATGTGTATTATGTGGAGATAACAGAGAACTAGTTAATGTTTTGATTGTCCAATTTCTATGTTAAGGAAAATGGTTTGCGAGAAGGAAAAAAAAAATGGTAAGGGGAAACAAAACCCAAGGTAATATAAGAGCAGATGATTACTTAAAAGTAGTTTGTTTCTCCTGGCCCAAACCCAGTACAACCAGGAACCAAAGAAAGTTTTGAAGATCATATCTCATTCATTTATGGATCATCCAAGTGGGGAGCTTCTGGAATATTGGAGAGAGAAATGTGTCCTGATACATTTTTTTTAAATGATTATATTCCAGAAACCATAGACTGGTAAATTTGACATTAATGTTCCAATTAAAAAAACAATTGTAAACAGACTCTTAAAACAATAATTTGTGGGTGTTTAGTTTAAAGGAGAGTTTACTAGGAGTCAGTAGTTATTAGTAATGGCATAAAAAATTACCCTGATTTCCCCCCTTTTTTATATTAATTATTATACAGGAGCAAGAGTATAAATATATCTGAATTTCATCAAAGCAAATAACAGCTAATACTTTTCTAGGAAGAAGCTGTCATTCTGAAGATTACCAATTATTCTTTAGTGGTTGAGTCCAATGGCAGTTTCCCAATCTTCATATTACTAATTTTGCTTTGCTGAATATATATTGTTTCTTTTGATTTTCTTTTTCCTTTGGTTTTGATGTCTCCATACAGACTTTATTTCCTTTTAAATTCCTCTTTACATCTTTCTTTCTCTCTCCTTTCATATCTTGTTCCAAATATAGGTTTCATTCAGGTTATAGTTTTGATCCCTGACCTGAAGAGATTACTTATTGCAGTGTTAGTTCATCTCTCCATATCCACTTTAAGAGATGAAATTCATCTTCTACAAAATAAAGGAAGCAGCCTTTTCTAGATGATTGTGTATCCACAACTAACCTCCCTCGCCATTGTTGACTACTAAGAGAAAAATGAATGAACTAATCAAATTTCTTCCTTGAAATCTTAGATTTGGGAAGGAGGAAAGGAGAGAAAGAAAAAACTGAAAGGGGCAAGAGGAAGACATGGCTAATCAATTTTGTTACACTTTGCGAGCATGAATTTTGTGTGTAGACTGAATAAGAAAATGAATTGAATTGAGAAAAGAAAGAAAAATAAAGGAGGAATATAGAAAGACTGAGGAGTCAATAGTTGTCCTTGAGGTATTTAAGTCTGTTTTCTAATATATTTTGAAGATTCTTTTATCCTCGCCATTAGGCCTGTCTGTGGCACAGCTCTATTTTAATTAAGCTTTCTAGATAAATTTCTGTTTCTTGAAACCAGAAGAGAACCAATTAATATAACTGTCTACCTTCTCTAAAGTTTTCTTAGTTTATTTCAGTTATCATTTTTCTAGACTTGATCTTACTACTAAGCTCCTATCTGCTATTCATCCTACTGAACCCTTCAACTTGAATACAAAAAAACTGAAACACATTTTTCTTTGCAAATCTGAACCCTCAGAGATTCCTGTCTTCTTATGAACAAATATTTGCCTGATTTCCTAGTATAAAATATTTGAAATATCTATAACTCTTTTGCCTTAATGGTCTCCATAGCCAATCAATTACCACATTGTCCTACTATTATGGTACAGAATTATAATCCTACTTATGTCCTAATTTTACAATGGAGGTAGTAGCTTTTGCAAGGGTCTCTCTTCAAATCACATCTTTCTCGAAGCTTGCCTGCAGACATTTCTAACTTGTTTTCTGCTTCAGTTCTCAATACTCCACAATCTATTGTACATTTACGTATTGCAATGAATTTTAAATAAAATCAGCAATGTTTTGCCACTTAGAGATAAACAATGATGTACCTTAGGGTATTCCTAATTTATTTTTTTATAAAATTATCTTATTTCATTCTGTTATAAACTTATAAACTAAATGTATCTTAATGATTGTTCCAGAATCTTATAAAATTTCTAAATAGTGTTAATCTACTAAACATATTTTTAGTCTTTAATTTGATTTTTAGGCTTTTTTTTTTTTAAGTTCAAAATTTGGCAACTATAATGAGGATAACATTTTTATGTCATTACTAGATTACTAGTTATTACTTTTAATCATATAACCATTATTTGGTGCTCAAATAAAAATTAACATAATTATTCTGACTTTGAATAAAAATTAAAAGGTTATACATGACACTCAGCAATCTAAATTGAGTTATAGATGTGGCTTAGAGAATAATTAGTATTTCAATTTACTGGACTTAAGTAATAGTCATATATAATATTATTAAATAAATGATTCATTCAAGTAAAAATATAAAAAGTCTGCAAGTCAACTAAAATATGACATTTAGGTTCCCCGCATACATTTGGGGGTAAACTGAAAGGCATGTAAGTAAGAAGTTGAAATTGAGACATTACTCCAAACTATTCTGAGATTTTACCTTAACTGGGACCTATACTTCACTTGGTACTATATAATATACCCTATTTATACACATAAATATACATATTAAGACATTACATTTTATAGTTTGACAGACATAGGTCAAATCCTGGCTTTTCAACTTATTAAATTTGAACTCCTGGACAATTTTATTAATTTCACTCAAGATTCAGCTGTTGTGAAAATTATATCAGATACTGTATAAAAAAGAATTTAACTTAGAGAATCGTACATAGTAAACAGTGAATCTTATTTATTATTATCT